CAGGCACATCTCCTGTGGGAGTCTGAGTACTCAGAACCTCTGAAAATTAAGGACATAATTTCAAAACTTCCTTAAAGACTTAAAAACAAATAGTCTATCAAATCTCAGTGCAACTTGTGGTCTCAAATACCTTAAACAGTCTTGAAAATCCACCTAAATTCCATAGGACTTCTATAGATAAGTATGGGGTTTCAGAAGTGGTTAACCAAAACAGCCTAATGGACCTGTTAAAGTACTCATGCAAGATAATTCACAGTTCTGCTTGCTTTCTCATTGGGTTTTTTGGTGGGTGGTTTGTTGTTGTTGTTTTTGGTTTGGGTTGGGTTTTTTGCTTTTGGTTTTTGTTTTTATGTTTTGAGGGTGTTGAAAGAAAAGTCATGCTGCCCGTTATTATCCTGACCAAAGACAATACAGTAAGCCTGAGGAATAGCTGATCATCTGCTCACACATTTTGTTCAAAAAGACATATTTTAGGATTAGAAGAGATTTGTGCCTCCAAGGGCTAAAATTTAGTATCCAACAGAACTAGATGGAAAACATGCATTAAAAAGATATTCTGAATCTTAAACATATTTTTCTCCTTTTTAAAAAAGTAAAGCAACTATTTTTGATAGTGAGACTTGGGTGTATTTTAGATCATTTACCAGAATCGCATACTGAAAGTGTAGTACAATGCAGAGAATGTTTTGTGACTCTCCTTTTCCTTTTCTGTATAGATGTCTCTTAATCAATATTGGCTGTTGTGAAACTTTATACGGTTTCAGTATATTGACCTAAAATAAACAAACAAACAAAAAAATAGAATGAGCAAGCTAACACAAGCTTGAAAAATGGTAATTAATTGTATTTTAACATAGAAATAGAGAATGAGATGAGATTCTTGAGATACTGGATACAGCTGGAATTGCAATTTTTTTAAAATCTCTAAACTGGTTTTGGACACAGATTTTCACATCAATTTCCAGATCTGGAGCATTTGAGAGATCTGTGTGTGTATGGGCAAAAAGCTACAGGTTTGAATTGCCCAAAATTTAGAAGGTCCTCCCACAAGAATCCATTTGTATTGCTTCTCTGGAAAATCACATACAGTCCTCTGCAGCATATGATGTTAGAGAGGAGATGAAACTAGATAGACTGTTGGTCTTTTCCATTGTTGAGGTATTGCTTATACATTAAAATTGATTTAGAGTGCTGGAGAAGATGTGTCTCTGCCCATGCCAACTTCTGCTTAGGATTTGAGATCTTTGGAAGGTATAAGATCAGTGCATGAGGACTGGATATTTGGGACTACAGGGAACGGAAACCTTCACCCTGCTGCAAAGCAATACGAAGAAGTTATCTTTCTTTATTCCTGTTTGGGCAGTTCCATGTTGTGAGATAAGCTTCTACCTAGTGCTTGGCTTTTGTGACTGCCTACATGACTCTCATTTGTAGTGCCTTGAATACCTTTCAATTCTTTCATTATAAGAAAATTTTAAATCTGCTTAAAGTAAACTGAGCTTAGGAATAGGCTAGCTTTGTTTAAGTTTTTCAGTTGTGTATACATCTCCCAAGATGAGAGAATAACTGAACCTGTGAGAATAGGGATGATAACAGAGCAAGTTTTGAGCCTGTTATCAAAAAAGAGGCAAGTTTTTGTTTCAGACAAAACTTTTACAAATTCGTCACAGCAGATCCCCTTTGCCAACCTATTCTTTTGATATCTGGGATGTTTAGCTGGGCTGTTTCACGGAAAGAAATGTGTTTGAGTATGAAGCTGAGGAAAAAAAATATCAAATATAGACAACGGTCGGTATTCTCACTTTTTTTTTCCCATGTTTAACCTCCACATTGCTTAGAAGTTATTAAATACTCTTCTGATACAAACATTTATTCAGTATCTTATTCACTTAGGCAGAAATACTGGTAAATGTCTAGTGTTTTGTGTTCCTTTCATATGATCAGCGCTTTAATTTCTTCAGTTACAGTGAGGAATAACAATATCTCATCCAAATAGCGGGGTTTTACACTCTGGTGACAAATTACAGAACATGATAAATGAGTGCTGTGTCCAACAGGTTGTGCAGGGAGACCACGATTCTGGTCTTGGTGCTCTGGAGAACAGGGAAACTAAGGAAGACCTTACAGGCCTGTTAATTCTTTAATGAAGAAAGCATCCAATGAACTAGTTTGTTTTAAACATCATAATACTGATAGTAGTACGGTAATAATGACAGAATTTGTCCTAGTTTTAAAGGTTGGATGCTACATATGATATCTTACTTTCTATGAAGCAAGAAAAAGGGATTTTTCTCCTGTATTTTCTTTTGGATTTTAAATGACTTAGACATAGTTTGCAATTCAGGAATAGGGTCAAAAACGGACCTGATTTAAGCACTGATTTCAGTCTTTTAACAGGAGGAGGGGGGGAATGAACAAAAAAAAAATCCACCAAAAAACGGAGAAACAAAGCTATCATTAACTGCACTCCCTTTCCCCCACCCCACATACATACACAAACAAATCAACCATGGAAGAGCTTCCAGTAGCTGAATGGTTAAAGAACAGACATTTTATTCTGACAATATTACATGTTTTTCTTTTCCATAGCAAGTTGAATATAAAGGATGGTACATCCCTGCATTTCCTTACAGACTTTGAAAAGTGACTGCTTCAGGCTATTGTCATGGGTATAGGCTAAGATTTTTGGTGGGTATATATCTTTCTAAGTTCTATACTTCTCTCAAATCAGCTGAGAGATCAGAAGTTCATGGTGAGCTACAGACATTAATTCAAGAGAGTATAATGCTGTGCTTCTGTGAAGAATATGTAATCCATATTCTGGAAAAAGGTATGGAATTTCGGTGATATTAAATGCTATGGTAGGTTCTACAGCATCTTTCAACTCTGCCATTTATTTCTGTATAGGAGAAAAGAATAATAGAAATTCTATATGTCACCATCAGAATGTCTTCCTCTGCAGAATTGTACCTAGCTTCTCTGTTTTTTTTGTCTATCATACGCTGTAAGAAAATTCATGGTCATTTGGATCCCCTCCCCTATTTCAGGTGTGCTGACTAACATTTGTTTAAAAATTACAGGCTTGTCCATGTGACTATATTGGCAGGGGTTTTTAGGTTGGATTTGTTTTGTTTTGTTTTTTTTTTAAATATTGCTTCATAAGCAGGGCTACCTGTTTAATGATATATATTCATGTTAATTTTTTTTCCCTAAAAATCCACTGGTATTTATTTCTATTTTGCTCTAAGCTTAAAAAAAATAAATAAATTAAAAATTGTAATTGTTATTGTCACCCTGGCTTTACTCCACTTGTGTGGAGCTACCAATTATTTGAGTCAGTCTGCTTTTCTGTATATGTGCATTTTAAAAATTGGTATCTCTAATTGTCTTTGGTATATTCACAACTATGAGAAAAAGTTATTAACCAGTGTCTATGAGATCTAAAGCTGCACTCTCCAAAGGCTTGCCCCGGGTATAGCAGACCAGATGAGTAGTACAGTAAAGGTGAATCAATTTATACAGCTAACAGAATACAGAGTGATGTGACTACCATCATATATTTACCTTCTTGGTGCTCTAGCTTGAATGACTAGGTACAGATCTGTAGTGAGTTGGCCGACCAGCATTTGCCAAAATTAATGAACCTTTGGATTTTTGTCTTTAATAATGTTATCTTTAATTGCTCTACCATGCTCTTTTGGATACATCATTACTTTCCTGTTGTAAACTAGAGACTGGTATTATTTACCAGATTATAAATTCGTGCTTCCTGAAGTAAGAACAAGATGACAACTGACTTAATTTTTTTTTTTTCCCCTGAGACCCTTTCAAATATTACAGAACCACCTTTTTAGAGCATATAATGGTGATACATGTAAGGCTACTATCTGTTTTTTCCAGTCTTCAAAAAAAAACCCTACAATTCTCATCTGTAGATATTTGGATTGATGCAATTCTAGACATCATATATATTTAAAGGAAATAATTATGATAGTATATTCTGCTGCTTCAAAATCTTTTTTAAAATGTCTAACCAGTCTTCTGTATTTAAAGACATAGTAATAATCTTATTTTGCTGAAAGAAACCCTGGAAAGTAAACAAGGAAAATACAGTTTTTGAATGTGTGCACTTCTACTGGAAATTTTGAGGCAGAATTAAGAAGGATTAATTTCTGTTGAATGATAGAAACTTATCACAGCCTAAAGAGATTTCCCCTATACTAGAAATCAGAGCTTAACATTCTCCTGAAGTAGTGGTGTCAAGTCTTCTGTTGCCCCAAACTAAATTAGCTTGGATAGTTGGTGGAAGCACGATGGTACCACCTCACCAATGAATAATCTATGTCAGGGCTGCTTCAGGCTCCAGCTTCTCTGTCCTGGTATCTAGTGCAATAAGAACTAAGCTGTCCTTCTCCAAGGTCTCTCATAGAGTTCAAGCCATGATAACTATACTCTTATAATCTTTCACTTTAATCATTTTGCACTATTACTTTTGAACAATGCAAGGCATTTCACTGCGTCTGTGGTTTTATCAGGTATCAACCCCTTATCTGGCTTTACTCGCTAAATTAAGGTCCTTCCTACTATTTGGTGCAGGTTTTGCACCTGAACTTTGTGTTGATTCAGGCGCTGTCACCTGGGGCCAGGTATATCAACATGGCCTGGGAACCGAGTTTGTAATTTTGTTCCCATACATTTCAGCCCCTTAAATTTGTCTTTCTCCTTCAAAACAGTTGAATACTTTTGTTAATTTTTGCTACTGTTCATTTAAACTAACACACTGGCCACAAGTTATGTGTATATTTTGGTCAAAAACATTTGACCAGGAACATAACTGCTCCTGAATATATTATCATAGTGTTTGTACTCCAAGTAGTGTGTTTGAGGCACATATTCCAGTGGTTTCACTGGCTATGTATTAATTTAATTGTGTCTTATTACAGTATGCAGATCCATACTATGATGTGTCATCCTAAACTAATCTGTTACTTCAATTTCAGCATGTGAGACAGAAGCAGCAAAAGTTTATCAGCTATCACTAGAAGAGCACCTCCAGCCTTTCAAAGACAGCATGGAGCAATTCATTAGTCAAGGTAAATAATGAAACGTCACTTAACCTTTTCATGACATTTCAAAGGAAAGTTATGGGAACAATGTTTATACATTGTGGGAAAGGGACTGTTTATTTTGGCATCATAGAAAGATGTGGATTAGTTTAATCAGATGCCACACAGTTCTAAAAGATTTGCAAAATGATTCTGTTGTACTGTAGGTGACTCACTCTCTTTTGCATGACAGCAAAGACAAATGCTATTGGCTTGAGTGCATGATCTTCTGATAAGTTCAACATTCCAGTAGAAAACAATTTTACAACCTTTGTTCCTTGAAAAATTATTGAAGCTGGATCTGTTTCATTAACTTCTTTCCAACAGATAATACTTTTGTATGGGCCAAAAACATGGAGTAAGCATAGCAAAAGTAGTTAAAGTTTTTCCAGATATAAGGCAAATCCATATGAAATACTTGGATGTGATTAGTGGAAAACACTGCAAGAGAAAATATATTAGAAATACCCATGATGAACTGGCATCCTGAATGCTAGAAAGCAAGCACTTTAAAAATGAATAGACTATGCTTTCAATGCTTTACTAGACCCTTCTTTTGCAAGACTATAGGAGGTATGGATAACTTTAATTTTTGATTAGCGGTATATCAGAGCATCTCTTGAAATACTACTCTGAAAAAGTATACTCTGTATGGACCAATTCACTTTTTGATACAAGTTAAAATTCAATGCATCAGGGTGACAATGACCTGATGAGTACACCAATATAATTTTAACTTTCTTGACCACTTTACTGCTCCTTCTGCTTTGATATTGCATTTTATAATAGAAGACAGACCTGTTATCTCCTGAACAGGTAAGTTATGTGAAAAGTCAATTTCTAGTGCTGATTCAATGGAGCTGTCAGTAATTTGTTAGCCTAGAGCTGTGTTAATGAGCTATCATATATAGAAATCATTATTAACTGAATGTGCATTATGTTTGAGAGGCCAGTCGGATATGCATTTGTCTCTTCTTGGTTAGAATATCCAAGATGACCATCTATCTGAACATTATAAGTGGAGTACATATGTTCTAGTATCTACTGATCCATGCTCTAGGACTCTCAATTACAGTGAATAAATTGAGCAAAACCAACATTTTGAACCATCAAATGTGAACTGATGTTTTCTAAGACAAATGTCTATCAGCCAAACCTGGCAAACAGGATGTTGTCTCCAGCAATAGTAGGTATGAATTGCTTTAAAACTGAATTCTGGTTATGTACATGACATATAAAAGTTACATTAGTGGCATGATTAAACATATAGCGTTTTACATTAGGTTTATATTATTATTCATACATATAGATAGGGGACAATCAAATCACAAGTTGGTCTGAAAGAGATCATTAATGTTATACTGTAAATCATGCCATATGTTTGCATATTAACCTTAATAACAGAGTAGGAAATCAAACATGAGGATTATATTTCATCAGACGTATATCTGTTAAATTTCTTTCACTTATTTTAGAAACCATACTTTTAGAAGTATCTGACTCTATACTTTAGTTTGCTTCATGATTTCTGACTATGACTTCCAGAACAACATAATTATATATAAGCTATATAGTAATCTGTTATGTTTTTGCAAGGATATGCGATTTCCTTTCTTGATTATGTCTCTGTATTTTAGGAAAATGAGGAAAAAAAAAAAAAAAAAAAGAAAAAAATGCATCTCATCCATTAAGAACTTTGCTGTGTTCCCATGTTAACAGTAGATATTGCTGGGTGGTTGACAAAAGGAGAAACCCATAATGTCAGTAAAAATATCATTGTTGTATTTTAATGAAAATAATTGGAAATGTGTACTGTGAACACAGTGGATTGTGACTAAACAATTTATACATTTATTTAAAACTGTAAGGCACATTTTGCAGAATTCTGTCCCAATGTAAGAAAGACAAAGGTTAACATATAAGAAAAAAGAATCCCTGGTTAAGTTCCAAAAATAAAGTAATTTTAAATACCTTTCATTATGAAATCCTTTGTTTTTACTTCATGGGATTGAATTCAGACTTGAAAGAGGCCATGTTTAAAGCAGGATTTCTCTTTCCTGTTCAGTGTTTGACAGGCTTTTGATCTAGATATTTTTTCTAAGGGCTTTTGTTGTTTATGTAGACATAATCGATGAGTCTTTTCAGCTAGACTGCACACATGATCATTTAGAAAAACAGAGGGACAATTCTTGGCACCTTTTGGGGATTTGTGTTTATATAACATATGCTCTGGGCAAAGAAAAATCAAGCTTTAAGTTTTTATCTTTTCAAGTTCCAGTTTCTCTAAAGTCAGAAAAAGTTTTAACTTATAATTCAGATGAAAAGCATTTTTCATAGGGTTGAATAATTTGGCATGTTTATATCATGCCTTTTCAGAGTAGATAACTTGTGTGCATAATGGGACCCAAAAGTTCAAAGTAGCTAGTTATTTACAGCATATTCACTTATACTTGTTGCTAGCAGCTAAAATGGAAAACGGTTTTCCCATAGGCAAGAAAACTTGGACATCAAATTAAATATCCTTGGCAAGGGGTTAGCAAGGCTCTGCTTTATAAGAATAGTTACTGTCTGGCACAGTTATATAACTTTGAATTAAGTTACTGTAACTAGTCTAGCTGATTGTTACTATTGATGTATTAATAAAAAATCTTTTTTTTAATGTTAACACTTTTATTAGATTAATGAGAGACAAAAAAGGTTGTATATTACTAGCTTACTTGTAAAGATTATTTCATTTAAAAAATAAAGAAGGGGAAGAGGCGAGAATGTGTTCAGAGTCGTAACGTTTTAGATTAAAATGCTAGTGGTATGTATGATTGAGGCTGTTCAGCATTTGCCTTCAGTCTAGTCACTAGGCTAAATAATCAGCATATTCATTAAAATATGCAAATTAGTGAAAGGATGCCAGTCCTTTTTCTGATGAACTTCAGGGTCATTCTTAAAATGATCATTCTACTTAAAAGAACAAACTACCCGTCCTATCCTCTCTACGCTGGCTTACTGGATATTTGCAAGCATGCTTTATCCTGTGCGTTTGATTTTTGAGGGTCTGTGTGCCTCAAAACCTCCAAGGCAATCCTCTCTGCTCTCCCATGTTTTCTGTCCTCTTTTTGGGTCCAAATGCTGCAAACATCAATCACAAAGTATATAATGTGGTTCTTTTGTTTTCACAAATATTAATAATTTTTTTCCTGAAATTCTCCATAGCCACGGGGTTTAAAAAGCAAAAGGAAAAAAAAAAAAGAGCTACTCCAAAAAAGGAGATTAGAGAAAAATTGTCAGAAAATACAAGACTTTTAAAAATTATATTGTTTGTTACATATATCTAACCATTTCTTTCTGGGTTTCGAATATTGAAGTAACATGAAATATAAGCATGAAATTTAGTTATTCAGACCAAACTGTAGGAATTTAAAAAGTACTACTTGCATCTCCCCCATGTAGGGTATATATTCACTGAAGTTTTCTGTCCTTGAGTTACTCCCCACAAGTTATCACGATTTGAATAAGAGAGTTTGAAAGGAAAACACTATTTGGGAACCTTGTCTCCTTTGTTCTGTATGTAGTTATGGATAGATAGGGACACAAAAAAAATCACAGATCACATCCACCAGTTTAGAAAGCTTCAGAAATCACTTCTTTTCATGGGGAAAATGTGTCTGACACACGGGAAGGTGGGGAAATACTGAGGGCACTAATCGTCATGCAATTTGTAGAGGAATTTCATTAGCAGTTAGTAATCCTTTAACTTTGTCCCCACTTGATAGGACAGCCAGCTCATGTTGAAAGAATTGTGTGTGCGTGAACCACAAATGAGTCCCAGTCCACAGGTTTTAACTGTGGTTAACTTTGTAGTGAAAAGCAGTCTTTGGGTGTTTGCTGTTGGGACTCCAGCTAGGCTGTGCATTCCTGTCAGCCTGATAAGGCAGGAAACTCATGATAGGAGGCAGCAACCATCGCTCCCTCGGAAAAGTAAGTCTGGTTTGGGAACTGGGAAGAGGTAATGTGTTGGAATCACAGCTTTTCCACTGAGATTCTATAAATTGTGCAAACGCCACAGACTTCAAATCTGAGCAAGTCACCCAATATCATGTTCAGAAACCAAACCAATATAATTAGTTTTAGACTTTAGAAAAAGTATTATGGTGTAGGAAATTTAAGCACCAGAATGCATTGTTTGAAGAAGTAAAAACATAATTTTCTGATGTTTAGCTAGTTAATCTAAAAACTTTGGGAATAATTCTGGTATGATTGTAAGTTTGGGAGTACAAGGTAACCATTCAACCTTTGGTTCCTTCTAGTCTTATTTTGCAAAATTCTGCAGTTCTGCTCTTGTT